AAAGGGAGCAGGGACCTGCCCATGGATCTGTTCAATCTGACTGAGTGCAAGCTTAAAAGAAGCCAGTGCAGATGAAGATGGGCAGGTACTACACACTCCTCAACCTCCTTCTGCTGCAGAAATGCCCATTCTTGGTCCTATGCCTGAAAAGAGGCAAACAACAGGAGTCTGCACACCCTTCCTGTGGAAACAAAGTGGTCTGTGTGAAATGTGCTGAAGCTCAGCATCCAATGGACCAAAAGCAACAACAAGGTTGCTACACAGCCCTTCGTAATGGTCTTGGATAATTATGAGTTCAGCGCTTCACAGTGGTGGCCTTTTGTAGCTGATAGCACAATAAACTTCAGGCCTGGGTGCCCAATTCAGAACAGGGTGGGGAGAAGATGTGGCTTCACAAATGTCATTGGTGTATCTCTGAAGTCGCACCAGCTCTGAATTTAACTCAGAACCCTGGCTAGACCAAAAAAAAATTCCTTCAAGTGGTTTATACTTCTATATTGCAAAGTAAAATGGTATTTTACCCCAGCAAGATCAGGTTTCCAACATCTCTTTTGAAGTACATTACTCAAAGCCTTGCTAATGTTCCAGAATTGAAATTAAGTCCAGGGAAGAGTAACTAGTTCCTTCTGATTTCTGCTCAAGCTGTAAGTGACAATCCAAGCATTCTGTCCATTTTCCACTTGTTAAAAAAATTGTCTAAAAAGTTTAGCTCCAGCTTTTCTGGAAGGCAATCAGTACAACAGAAAACAGCAGCCCAAACCCCTATTTCTTCCCAACCTGCAAACTAAAAGAAATAATAAAACATTTACCACTCAAGGTAATTTTAAGATAAACATTTCAGGTTATCATCTTCTCGAGAAGGACACTGTGACAAACGAAATGGCACTGAAGAATAATACATTGAAAGACAAATGGTAAGGAGAGAGAAACCTCAGGAAATAAAAAAAGCCGGCGCAAGGTAAAATTAAAACTCTTTTTTGTTGTGTTTAATAGTCGAATTTTAAATATGATTTAACTTCCCTGAACAATCAGTAAAGACCCTCATGTGCTGGGCTTGGCCAACACCAGAGCTGGTTGCTCTCAGAGTCTGCAAGTGCCCGCTCCTCGATCGCACCTCCATGAGTAGCTGCCATAGAAATATCTACAGTTACAAGGTTGAAGGAGAAAACAATGACATTTTTGCAACATATCCCAGGAGGCGTTAAATGCCTCTGACAAATCCCAGTGGCCAGAAACTCCAAGAACATCAGAGTAGCAAAGGATGCCCAGAAGGTGGATGTGGTTAAGTAAAGGGTCAGTGCCGGGATGCCGTTTAGCAAACAGCCATTCCGCTTCCCATCCTCAAAATGTCCTCATACACCAGTTATCCTGACAAGCAGCTTTCTGGAAGCTATCTCCTGCTCAGGAGATCTTGACAGATGTCATACCAACCATTGGAGGGACTGGGCTGAAGCAAGGAGGACCTGGGAGAAGCACCCTCCCTGTCTTTCTCAGCTGTGCTCTCCTTTTGTTGGGCACAAAAAATCCTTTTGTCTTCAGAGACGACACAAGGAGTTAAGTTTTTAGGGGACTGTAAGATGGATCCAAAGTGGTTAACAAATCAGTTGTCCAGACACTGATACCGTCAGTAGGAAATCCAGTCTAGAACACAGTTTTTGCATGTTTGCACCATGACAGACCTCTGTTCCTGGATTTCTGAGAAACAAAAAAAAATTTGATGCAGAGGTGACTAGTTTTCCCTTCAGCTGATTAAAACTTGAACAACAAGATCAGAAGAAGAAACAGCTGAGAACAGATCCAGTCCTGCTGATCTCTCCTATAAGAAAGTTTTCGATGAAGTCTCAGGAGCCAGCAGGGTCAGCCTCAGCCTGTAGCAGTTCCACCCATCACATTCCTGAGTAGCAAATCAGGAAATTCACTGAAGGACGGACTAGAAACTCCCCAGTGATACATGGCAAACTGAGTCAGTACTTCTTGCTTAATATATGCTCTAGGGCAGATACAGATGTAGTCCAGAATATTTATTTCTGAGGCTTTCTCCCCCTTTAATCCAAATAATTTAAGGAGGAACCCGGTGAAGGAGAAAGCAGCAGCTATAGCTTAGTGTTAACAAGTTCTTCTAAGCGCACTGTGGTCAGCAAGATTATCTGATCCAACTTTGCTGTCACCATAGAGTAGGTGCTTGAGGTGGAGGTTATTTGGCCATAAGAACTAGCTTCAAATTTAGGGCTAGAAATAGCATCTCTTGTGAAGAAGTCTTCAGTGAGTGGGCTTTGGTGTCGCAGCACTGTAGCATAGCTGCATACAGCTTCCAAGCTGAGTTCCCTGAGGCCAGGGAACAGGGGTCTTTTTATGGGTTGAGAACAAAAGTCTGCTGAAGTCAGTTTTCCTATGAAACCAGGCTCAAACTCAGCACGAACCATCCAGTTCACTCTTGAAGGAGCCATTCACTTGCACCTTAAAGTCAGAACAAAATGCAGATTTGATCTCAGATTGGTTCTTGCTTTTGGAGGAATTTTATGTCACTGCACTGCCACCGACCTCTGCTGAGTTACAGTAAATTCAGACTCAGCCATGGGACTAATGGGGTCATACATCCCTGCAAAATAAATGGCAAATAGTTCTATAAACACAACTGAGGCAAACCCAAGGAGTCTGACACATTTTTCTCACCTTCTCACCAAGGAGTCTGACACACTTTTCTCACCTTCTCTGGTGCTTACCCTGCTTGGCATGAAGCAAGTCCCCAGTTTTAACAGCCAGAGTGGCACTGGCACAGTCTGGGGGCTTTATAGAGATGGCATTGGGCTGGATCCTCAGGTGGTCTAAAGCACCATGGTGTACACAGCCTGAAAACATTGATGCTTTTTCACAGAATCATAGAAGCTAAAATGGTTTAGGTTGGAAGGGATCTCATCTAGTTCTAACCCCTCTGCCATGGGCAGGGACACCTTCCACTAGATCAGGTTGCTCAAAACTCTGTCCAAACTGGTCTTGAACACTTGCAGGGAGGCGGCATGCATGGTCTCTATTAGCAAGCCCTTCCAGTGTCTCATCACGCTCACAGCAAAGAACCTCTTCCTTACATCTAACCTACATGTACTCTCTTTCAGTTTAAAACCATTGCCCCTCATCCTATCACCACACTCTCTCAGAAAAGTCCTTCCCCATCCTTCCTGCAGGCCTCCATTAGGCACTGGAAGGCCACTGTAAGGTTTCCCTGGAGTCTCTTCTCCAGGCTGAACAGCCCAAACCCTCTCAGCCTGTCCTCACTGGGGAGGTGCTCCAAACCCCTGATCATCTTCATGGCCTCCTCTGGACTCGCTCCAACAGGTCTATGTCTTTCTTATGTTGGTGACCCTAGAGCTGAACACGGAACTGCAAGTGGGATCTCACCAGAGGGGCAGAATCACCTCCCCTGACCTGCTGGACATGTTTCCTGATGCAGTCCAGGATGTGATTGGCTTTCTGGGTTGCGAGCACACACTGTTGGCTCACGTCAAGCTTTTCATCAACCAACACCCTCAAGTCCTTCTCTGCAGGGCTGCTCTCAATCCACTTCTCATCCAGCCTGTATTAGTGCTTGGGCTGCAGTACTTTGCACTTGGCCTTGTTGAACTACACAGGGTTGACACATGCCCACCTCTCAAGCTTGTCAAGGTCCCTCTGGATGACATCCCTTCCCTCCAGTGTGTCAATCACACCCCACAGCTTGGTGTTGTCAGCAAACTTGCTGAGGGTGCACTCGATCCCACTGTCCATGTCACCAACAAAGATGTTAAACAGGACTGGTGCCAGTAACAACCCCTGAGGTGAGGCTCACTGGCCTGTAGTCTCCTAGGTCTTCCTTTTTCTCCTTTTTAAAAGTTGAGGTTATGCTTCCTGTTTTCCTGTCAGCGGGAACTTCACCAGACTGCAATGAGTTCTCAAACATAATGGACAGTGGCTTAGCCACTTCATCTGCCAGTTCCCTCAGGGCCCAGTAGATGCATCTCATCTGGTTCCATGGACTTGCACAACTTAAGGTTCCTCAGATGGTCTCAAATCTGATCTTCTTCAACAGTGGGCAGTCCTTCGTTCTCCCAGTCCTTGCCCTTGCCTTCTGTTTGGGTCATGTGGCTGGAGCACTTGTCAGTGATCTGAACAGCCTCTCTTTTTTTTCTTTTTTCCCACCCTATGGGGCTCAAAGTCAGGTCTTTAAAGTGACTTGGATTTAAGAGGACAGGACTGACTATGGAAGCTTTCATACATGTTCCTGTACAAGAGCGCAGTGCTGTACAAATCCCACCACAGAGACATTCAACTTATCATGCACAGCCAGTACGGCTCAGGACCGTTACTGGGCACCAAGTCTTGGTGCACCCTTGTCAGCTCGCTGAAGCTTTGTCTGATACTGAGACCGTGGCTTGAGTCCTCTTTCATAAATCCCTCAGGAATAATAAACAGCCTATGACTAGTATAAAATTTCTTTTCCTTTTGCAAGACTGGAGAAGTGGGAGAGTAAGAGTCCACTGGTCACTAAGGTCAAATTTGCAGTAAATCCCAGGTAACGCTACAAACAATCACTTACATTTCAATATGAAAAAAGCTAAAAGAAACGTTCTCATCCAGAAATTGACCTGGACAAACCATCATCACCTGGGAATGTCCAAACCTCCTCCTCGGAAATGTGTCTGCCATCATTAGCTTTGTTTTAATGAATGACAAACTGATCCGTGCTGGCCTTATACCTCTGTGTAAGGAGTTGGTGAGGCTCATGAGGAGAGATGCTGGCAGTCTTTTGGTGTGCTTTACAAGTACAGAGAAATTAGTTCAATCTGTGGCTAGTTTTCTGTTCTGTGGTTTGTTTTTGTTTTTTCTTTCCTACAGATTAATTCCCAGTGCTTCCAATTCCACGTGTTCTTGGGAAAGAGAAACAGGATAAGAGAAAAAAAAACCCTCGAGCAAGTTGAAATGTTAAAAAAGAGAGGGAAAAAGAAAGAGAACAGAAAGAAATGCAGTCAGTTGGCATATTGTGCATAGAAAGCAACTTTTACTCGCTCAATCTGGTGACACAGTTTGATGGCTGGACCAAGCTTCAGTTCCATGCACTCTTGCACTGTGGGCAGTGTCAGCAGCAGAAGGGCTTGGCCATCGATGTCCTGGGGAAGAAAAAAGACAGGAAAAATGCTTTTGTTTGCGGACTCTGGAGGACAGAAAGCATAACCAGGTTTGGAGAAACAGGCCTGGGAGGTTTCCCCAAAATATTAAAGGTGATTTTATCCTCTGCCCTTTCTCCCACTTTCATGCTGCCCACCTCCTTTCTTTGGGATACCTCAACCTTATCCAGAAATTGCCTAGTGTGTCTTCATAGGCTCCCACCTTGACCCTGGTTTGGAAAAAAGCATCCCAGCTGCTGAAACACAAGGTCACCCTCTGAAGGAACTTTGCAGGGTCCACAGAGATCTGATTAGTCCTATTTTAGACTGAGATCTGATTAGTCCTATTTTAGACTGAGGAACTGAAACAAGAGGGAGACTGCAAAGAGCCCATCAGGAGATAAAGGACGGAGCTGAAGGGAGAAACTGATGCTAGCCCCACTGCCAAGTCAAACCCTTCTCTCACCTCTTCTGGACCATGCTCAGCACAAGTTTATGCCTGTCCTGCTCCACGCTGCATCCCCTGGTCCACCCAGGACCTGCTTTGTTTCACTCAGCTGCTGAACAACCAAGACAGATGGGCCTGGACCATTCTGAGCCCTTGCAATCTCTCATGTCCCAGAATCACAGAACGGTGTAGGCTAGAAGGGACCTCTGGAGGTCAAGTCCTTCCTTAAGGCATATCTGTGAACTAGCAACTCAGACAAAAGCCATTTTATTAGGGATTTCTCAAGGCTTTATGATTCTCTTCTTAACTAAGAGCTCAAGTCTTCTTTATTCTGTAATGGACTGAGAAGCAGACAAGCAGGCTACAAAACTGCTTTTTACCCCTCAGGGAGGATCTGACTCCGTGTGCAGAAGCAGCGTTGTAACTCACAGGCAACATAAACTCCCCAGGATGGCCCTGATTTGGCAGCATTAAACACGAGGAGGATTTGGACACCTTAAGCACTGCCTTGAGCAGGATCGTCCACAGCTCAGGTTCTTCCAGCACTGAAGCTTGATGGCATCGCCCCTCGTGCCAGAGCTTCCTTATGAATCGCAAGGAACAGCTCCAGTCATCTGTTTTTGATTAAAATCCCCTTAAAACTCTTTGGCAAAGGAGCGTTGGGATTGGCTTTCAAGCCCTGGCGTTACTCCAGGGTGATTAACAAATGGTCGGAGCACGCTGCGACGCAGCAACTACAGCATCTTGCCTTGGAGTGCTTCAGCCTTACTCTAGACTTGCACTTCAACTTCTCTCCCTGTCAAAGCAGCTGCACTCGGGTACAAAGTTATTCATGGTGAAGAAGCAGAGAGAGCTCAATGTGCAGTTGGCCATACCACTGACTGCCACTGGCTATGGCTAATTAACCATACTCGCCTCCTTCTAAGTAGGATTTCTTAGTGCTGCCCTTTGCTTTCAGCGGTGCCTGTTGCCAATTACCCACGGAATGGCTGTTTCTATATAATTTTTACACATGTACACCGACCTGAGATGAAGAGCATTGGCTCCTGCTCCTGTAAACCAATCTGTTTAATGGGGGGATGCTTGGCATCTCTTAAAATTAAGTCATTCAAGGTCCTGACTGCCAGATCTCCAGAGGTATGCAAATTGGAAATAGGTGTCTACATACCCAAAGTATCTACTGACAAAATTCAGGCAGGCAGTTTAGGGTTCAATCAGCAGTTTTCTGCTTCCCAGGTCAATATTTTAAAGCAGGGTGGAACTCGTGGCCAGGAGAGACAGTTTGCGAGGCACCAATTAACCACTATCTGTTGGTACACCGAGGTGTCTGTGTGACACCAGGACGGTGCTGTGGACCTTGGCATGAATAAAAAAAGTCTAAATCTCCTGTTTTTCACAAGCACTCCTACTGGGGTGTTCCTGGTCTCTCTGAGGATCTGACCAGGGTCTGATTCAAGTTTCCAGGGGCTTCCATGCCTTGCCAAAATTTCTGCTTTAGCTTGGCCTGAGGGAATCTAAAGTCTGGTCAGAATCTCTTTGTCAAAGCCCCAGGTCCAGCTAGCAAAGAGGCATGTGCTGCTCTTTTTGTGCTGCTCGTGTAATACAAATAAGCACCACAAACACAAAGAGAAGAGTTACATGAAGACCTCTACCTGCTCCTGAAATATTTTGGCAAGGGGTGCACAGTCAGTCAGTTTAATAAACCTCACAACATCAGTAACGGTCCACTCCAATGGATTACTGTCCAGGATGAGCTTCTCTTCCTCTTCTTGCTTAATTTCCTACAAGAAAAAACCCAAAAGCTCTCATAAAGAAAACTATGTTGTGCGGAGAACCAGGGCAAGGATGCCCTCCTCAAATAAAGAAGGCTTGGCGCTGAAGTTAATTTAGGAAGAATATTGGCATTAATTGGGAGGGATAGTGAGATACACTAACTTCCTTGACTTGTGTGCCCTTCTCCACCTCGCTGTAGGAGTGGGGCTGCGGTCTCCGGCTCCGCCGGGCTCTCTCCGTGGGAGGAGGTCTGTCTGACTCGGTGCTGCTCCGTAAGGTGACCGCTCGCCGGGGCCTGGCAGAGGGGACCTCAGCAGAAGAAGTATCCGTCTGGTCATCCCGCAGCTCTGAGCTGGTTTCCTCGCTTCCCGTCTCGTCCTCCATCGCATCTGGCTCATCGTCTTCGCTCTCCTGCACGAGGACCATCAGCAAGAAACAGCATCCAGGCTCAGCGATTAATACAGCAGCAAATCGAAAGGCGCTGGGTCAAACCACACACCCGTGCCCACGCCAGTCCAGGGTAACACTTATTTTAAGCGAATTATCTCATTTTCATTACAGTGCAAAGTAGACTAGTCCTCGATTTAGACTTGTTACAAAATGTAGAAGAAAAAAACCCAAATACATGGTGGGCAAATCCTTGGTTTGTTTCTAACAAAAGGTCAACGGCAATAACTCATCTGGCATGAAATGCTCCTCTGTTGGGCTTCCGTCTCAAACCTCATGGCACCGCGTACACACGTTAGAAGGGAAAATGGAAAATACTACAAAGGATAGAATGATACTCAGGTTGTTCAAGATGAAATAAAATGAGAAATAAGCTTGAATTCAAACCTTCACCTTGCTTGAAATTGTCATGGGCGTCATTACTATTAAAGTATGGACATTTTGTATATTTTAAAAATATACAGACATGCATAATTGACCTTGATTTCTTAGCTGGAATTTCTGTAAAACCTAAGACAGGATTTCACTCAGATTTCCCTGCTTTCAGCCCAACACCTCACTGCTAAAGGTGAAGCACAAATTTTCCTTTAAAGGATATTACACCAGATTCTTGTTATTTCTTTTACACAGAGCTTGCAAGCACAAATCAGCTGATGGAAACTGTGTATTTTGCACTTTACATATATGTAAGTGGCCCAAATGGCTTCAACACCTTAGTTCTCATCTCAAGTGTGAACATGCATCCAAACCATATGCTTAAGACTTAAATGAAAGAGCAATTTTAGACAAAGTTAGTTATATTGGCTGAAAAGCTGAAAAACTTGGCTAATGGTTGATTTAGCCTTAACATGAGTTTAAATTCCTCTGAAGCGGGTATAATCTAAGGAAATGAAGCAGAACTACACCTAAATGAGGACAAAGTCATGAAGATGTAAGCAATCAACTGACTAAAATATCCCCCTCCAGCAGAAGGAGAGTGAATTTAAGTAAATCAGTTTTATTTCACATTGCACAAAGCAGCAATCACTGGCACTCAGCTGAGGAAACGAAACCACACATCAACTTTGTCATTACTATCATGGGAAAAACACCTGGGTCCACACAGAACTAAGTCCGCTCCAGGTTGTATGCGGACACAAATCATTTTTGAAGCTTGGATCCTGTCATATCACACAACATACTGGAGGGATTGAGGCCTCAAACACCATATATTTGGGGCATAAACCATTCGTGTGTATACTAAAGCTTCTAGAACTTCTACTGCTTGATGTTGTGAACCAAAAATATTATGAATAGGGTTCCAACCAGCCTGACCTTAGAAGAACAGAGTAGCAAGGAGGGATTCCAAATGGAAAATGGAACTGTTGAGGTTTGCTGAGAAGTCCCTCAAAAGGAAGATGCAGATGGGGGGACCAAAAAAAATCACCAAGGGGTTTTTGCTGACGCATCCCAGTGCAACACACACCTCTGCAGAGCCTGCAGCATTCAAATCGACAGCTGACGACCTCCTTTTCTTCTGCACAAAGATGGATTTCCGCCTTTTTCGGCGTCGGGCTGGCTTAACATGTGCACTTTTCATGTTGTTATTTTCCCCAATTGGTGGCTTAATGATTTTTTTCCTCTTCCCATAATAGTAAGCTGGAGAAATGAAGCAAAAACACCCATTCAAAACTGTAACTACCAAGAGAAGGAAACTTTGTCTTTCTTCTTGCTACTGATTCAGTACTGCACACTAAGTGCATTTTTACTAGAAACATTAAAATACATTAATTTGGAAAATTATGTAAATATACGATGTCATTCTGCACTAACGCAGTGTTACAGCTCTTATGTATACACATTTACTGGTGATGACTGAGGGGTTCAGAATTTAACCCTACAAACTGCACTCAGGAAAAGCTTTTGGTAAGCAGAGCAGTGATTTGGAAGGAGAGAGTCAACATGTTTCAGATTTGATCCAATGTACTTCCACATGACTTAACAGTCTTAGATATACTTCTAGTTGCTAATGTTTTCAGCAGAGGTGGGAGAGGGCCAGCTACCCTGAATTATACATGTTTGTTCAATGCATCAGGGAATGTGGTTTTATTACCTTTGACTATTTCGTGGCCCAAGTTGAAATTAAGGGTATGAGAGTCCTCTGACCTTATGTTAGGTGCTTGTGCAAGATGTCTTTCAAAATGCTCTACAGCATTCTGTGGGGCTGGCAGGTATGCTGCCCTTCACCAGGCAGGGCATCCTGTAATAACTAAAATGGTACTTGGCACCCATGCTAAGTTCACAGATGAACTGAGCCTTTCATTAAATCCACGGAGTTATGAGGAACAACTCCTTTAGCCACTTACAACCACCCATTCTGAGATGAGACAATCTCAGCTGGAGCTCCCTTAGCTGCAGTTCTCCATCACTCCATTTGCTACCAGTGGGACCAAGGAGTCTAGCTCTACAGAAATGCACATTCAGTGATCTGAATCTCTCCCTGAGCCCATTTCTCCTCCTGCTCCATCACCAAACAGAAGCTAACTGGTTTAAACCAATCACACTGGTTTCTTGCAACCTTTGTGGAAGAACACCACTCACTTTCACTTTCCTGACCTGTTTAAGAGCCAATAATATCAACACCACTGACAACAAAAAGTGCTGAACACATGCCTAACTGCAGCCTTCCTGAAGAGGTAAGAATACGTTTAAATATTAAACGCCCTGAGCAAAAAGAGTCAGTGCTCCCAAACTCCTTCCAGCACTTCAGCACTGTGATACTGGCCTATCCTGGTGCATATGCTGGAAACTCTTCACTGTGTAGGACAGGATTCATCTCACCTAACGAATCTGTCTCAGATGCAGGAGTTTAAATGCCTGCTGGCCAGTGCAAGTTCCTTTTATGTGCTCCATATATTCACTTTACATATGAAGAAAAGTCAAGACTCCCCAAAAGTAATGACTTTCGAACAGGCATATTAGGATGGAGTGAGACGGACAGTTTTCTGGAGATATCTATTTCTCTGTGCACAATACTAAGGGAGACTATGGTGGCCTGGTCAGGATTAAATCATAGAATTATACAATGGTTTGGGCTGGAAGAGACCTTAAACATCATCTCGTTCCACCTCCATGCCAGAGTCCCCTGGTCCCACTAGACCAGGTTGCTCAGAGCCCCGTCCAACTTGGCCTTGAGCACTTCCAGGGATGAACCATCCACAGATTCTCTGGACAACCTGTTCCAGTGCCTCACCACCTTCTCTGCTCTTAGAGGAGATGAATCCTACTCAATATTAATGTATTACACAACTCCTTGTCTCCCGCTGCTCTGATTCCCAGCTAGCAACAAGAAGCCTTTTTGGCCAGTACTCACTGTACTTGGTTTTAGTATGAATGGAGCAGTTCTCTGGGCAGACCTCGGCCACCAGCACAGGACTGAACAAGTTGGGGCAGCACTCCAGCTTGGCACAGACTCTTCTGCAGAAATCCGCTACCTGATCCGACGTCCGCACAATCTTAACAGTTGCCCTGTATGTCTTCCCTCTATATCTAGAAAAGAGCACAGTAAGACCTCATGTCACCAATCAAGTGATTTCTGTTGATGCTACAGATCAGCTTCTCCTCTGTTAGTGAGATACCTTCCCTAATCACTTTTTGGAGAGTGTCTTTCTTGGGAAGGCATGCAGAATAGGTCTACTTGTTTCAGTGGCTCCATTTTGGATGGACTTGAGGAAGGAAAGGCAGCGTGAAATAAATCAGAGGTGTGGACATGATTTTGGGAAGAAACGTATGTGCAGACTGGATATATCTGCAGAGACGGAAAAAAATCACAGTAGGCTTGGTGAGGGTACTATACCGGACAGTGAGCCCATACTATGAACTGATATAAATTCCTGGGGAGGAGGATATAGTCTCTTCATATATTGCCCTGTGATGAGAAGTTCACACACCTCACAGAGCTTTCTGGTCACCACCCTGTGTTTGGGCTATTTCTCAGCCCTCAACACAGCTTTCACCTTCTCCACTACCATCTTTCTCATGGAAGTTCCTGTATCACATTTCAGTTTACCACAAGCCCACGGTCATTGTGCCAACTGTGGTTACTGGGATACACATACCCTGTAAAAGTATCCAAGTGGAACTGTACTCTCAGCCATACAGGCACCAGATGACTTCACTCTTATAAGATATGGGCAATACAAAACTCAAGGAACTACTCAGGATTCTCTTGAGTTCTTTAATGGGGCTACAGCAACAGGCTCTAAAAACTGACTCCTACAGGGAATGCTTAGAGCAGAAATCTGCAATTAATGATGTGTCTTAAATTTGTTATCCATGTGTTACTGAAACATTTATTTCAGGTTTTATATGAAGTGTTTCTGAGCGATAAATGGCTAAGAAAGATACAGTTACATCCCTGCTGTAATACGTTGTAGATGTGGACTCTGAAAAACCAATTACCCCATAATTTATTAAACAGCAGCATCAAGCTAAGATAAGATTTTTAAAACATCTCTTATGCCTCCTGAGGAATGCAACACAAGAGACAATCGCATGAATGCCGGGTGCTCAAGCATTATAAATGTACTTAGAGGAGAGAAAAGTAACACACGAAAATGAAAAAGGAGAGACAATGAAAGAAAGATGACTGGATGGGAGGCAATGAAAGACAAAGATAGAGTCACCAGGAAAAATGAGACAAAGCATTTGCGAGCGTGTTAACACCCACAGCCCCCTAGCAGGAAATCAGCTGCTGACAGTCAGATATGGAAGAGGAGGAAAAGGTGAAACAGAGGAGATATGGCTGGAGAGTTAAAACATGCAGCATGCACCTGGACCCTATTCCTTCTCTGAAAGGTATTACTGAGTTGCACAAAGCAAGTGAGAAACCACTTTTTGCTGTTCTCCCTTGCAAAAGCTCTTTCTGGCAACACTGGGATATGGGAAAAGGGGTTGAAACTAGGGGACATAAAGTGTTACAGAGGGGTACCCAAATGAAACCTGCGTCTGAGAATGGCCTGGTGCAACTATCCTCATGTTGCAAAAGACTCGGTCCAAACTACCGCTTCAACACAAAACTCTCCATAACTAACACCTGCGAGGCACCAGGTGTTGATACCCCTATGTGGTAACCAACCAAGGATATCAGGTCATGGAGACAATCCTACAGTCAAAGGAAGGAGAGAAAGGAAAGAAAAGGAAAGGGTCAAAGGAAAAAGGAAAAGGTCAAAGGAAAAAGGAAAAGGAAAAGGAAAAGGAAAAGGAAAGGAAAAAGGAAAAGGAAAAGGAAAAGGAAAAGGAAAAGGAAAAGGAAAAGGAAAAGGAAAAGGAAAAGGAAAAGGAAAAGGAAAAGGAAAAGGAAAAGGAAAAAGGAAAAGGAACCTAATTAGTCCACTCTTCATGCAGCCTGACAGACCTGCACAGATGATGTAAAATGGAAAAAGTATTCCTTTCCAGTATAGAGCACTGTTATCCCAGCTTCCCTGTAAAAAAGGTGCACAGGCAGGCTGGCTAAAGAAAGTTTGGCAATATCTAATATCAAAAGACCAAATTTCCACAGGCATTTAAATATATCTACTTATAAAGGTTTATATTCTTTTCCATGTGTTTGAAAAGGCTCCTGCCCTTATTACTTCTCCAGGAGCCATTAGGTTTAATGATGGCCTAGATCACTAGGTCAGTAAGCCCAACTCCTGTGACAGGCTGCAGAATTTCATTGTGCTACCTTCACCAGAACCTCAACAACTTTGGTTGGACTAAAGCATCACTTCCAGAAATGCACCAGCCTCCCCTTGAGGAGGGTCTCCACATTGGAAGAATCCTGGCAGTGGGAGCACCTGTACCTATACCTCACGAGTCTATGCCTCATTTTATGTCTGCATGTGTCTGGATTTAACTTACATTTATATGTCCTTGTTCTGACTTTCACTGCTGGGATGAAAAGGCTGCATCTGGTTTTGTTTCCCTGCAAAAGCGCTGTAATCAAATTGCCTCTTGATCTTCTTTCTTAAAAGCTAAGAAAGCTGCCTGATGGGTATTATTCAAGGATGGCTGACTTATTTCTGTGTGCCTCCTATTGTGTGTGGCTGCCCAGAAAGGACCCATTGTACCAAAGTGCCTGCTGAAAGAATAAGATGAAACCAGGAAAATGAAAAACTGACTGATTTCACAGTCTGGTTTGAATGCAACTCACATAGTAATTAACAGAATGGATGGCAAAATGGAGATCAACATGACTTCAGCCACCAGTCTCAATAACTCTAAGGTGTTAGTACTGGTTGCAGTAATATTTTTTACATGATTTTGGCCTTGGCAGCACGTCTTTTGACTATAAACCAGGTTCTACTAATATTTTCCACATTCCTCACACACTAAAGATTTTTAACACAAACACTATCAAATGTAATCTGAGCTGTTCTAAGACAGTCACGTGGAAAGAGCTCCTTTGGATATAACCAGAAATCCCTTTTCCATTAGCATTTTTCAAAAAATTACCAACTGCTGATACTCCTACAGATGTTTTTCATACTGGGACTCCTATCTTCCCAACCACTCATAAGCAGTAAGCAACCTGCCTGCATAGCATGGCAGCACTGGAAACTTGGAAAACAGCCATGACAAGCATAACATTTTCAGCTTTCTTAGAGATCACCGTTCTTTTAAAAAGAAATCTAAAGCCAAATAAATCTCCCGTTCCTCTCCCTCCTCCTCTGCCCTCAGATCCCCAGAACTGGATAAACCTTTTTGGTTAAACCACTTCCACAAAAAATATACTTCTGATCTTTGCCTATCCATGAGGAACAGTATTAAGCTAATAGCACATTGCTGGCAATATCACTCTCTTGTTGAAGCTTCCTTGGTGACAAAAAATATCAGAGGTTCATGAGAACAAAACGTTTTCTTGGATCTCCAGTTAGGGACCACTGTGTGATGACATGAAAAGTCCAAAGACACTTCAAACAGCAAGAACACTGAGACTACACTCATTTTCAAAACTCTCATCATAAGGACAACTCACGGTTCTGACAATCCTTGAGACTAGTGTGAACAACTCCATGGCTAAAAGCCTCAGTTTGCTTTTGAGGGACCAAAAACTCTCATCTCCTCTTTTGCAAGAAATTTCCAATTTGTCTTACTAGCTTCAAGTCTGCCAAATATTAGAAGTTATCTTCCTCCAAAGCTATTTAATCATCCAGGGACAGTAAGTTCTCTTGAAGACAGGATTCAGAAAGGGCTCTGGAACTGTTCTGCTTTAAGGACATGTCTCATTAAATCTCTTCCTGATTATGGTAAGAAAGGGTTTAAGTCACTCCACTGATCCTCATGACTTCTATCTCCAGTATCTGGCACAGAAAGCCACCTGGTCACACTAGTTCACCCTTGCAATGCCTCAGGACCCATGTGACGGGCGAACTAAACCATATAAGCTTTGTACTGATCACCGAGTTAGTAATTGCCTGCCACTTAGACTTCAGATCATTGATTGAAACTCTTTGGATCCAGTTGTCCAGTCAACCTTCCACTCATCCACATCTCCACAGCTTGAGGGTGGTGAGATGCTGGAACAGGTTGCCCAGAGAAATCTTGGATTCTCCCTCCCTGGAAGCATTGAAGGCCAGGTTGGACGGGGCTTTGAGCAGCCTGGTCTAGTGTAAGTTTTCCCTGCCCATGTCAGGGAGGTGGAATGAGATGATCTTTAGGGTCCCTTCCAACCCAAACCATTCTATGATTCTGTGAAAATCAACATCAACTTCCACTGTTTTTTCCCTCAACTACCAAACCAGTTATACCAGGCACAACCCGCACTTCATAAATCCATGCTGGTTCTTGATAGCTACCAATTGGTGCTGCATGATGTTCAAAATGGCTTCCTTTGAGGGTTTGCCTAATAACCTTCCCAAGAACATTAGATTGGACAGCCTGCAGTTACTTGGATTCTCCTTCTTGCCCTTCTTGAGGAGGGGTGCAATGTTTGTGCTTGTCCAGATGAAACTTTCAAACATGACAGTGAGTAGCCTTGGAATGGCATTGGTCAGTTCTCTCACACAGAGCTGGCTGCATCCCATCTGGTTCCACGCACTCATGCACATCCAGTTTGCTTGTAGTGTCTTAAGTTTCTTTTCCATTTACTGTGGGTAACTCTTTGCTCCCTCAAACAGTAAGAGAGACCTGGGAGGCCTGAGAGCTACCCTTGCTAACAAAGGCTGAGGCAAAGAAGACTTCAAACACCTCAGTGTCATCTACCACAAGAAAAAGGCAGTCTCCTAAAGCATGCACAGTGAAGAGACTTTCTCTGAAACGCAGCATCATAAATAAGCAACGGGTGTAAATATCCCTGGAGTTCTGTGACCAGATTTGGGCAGCTCTCAAAATTTCATTTCATGGAGGAGCCCAGGAATACTCATCTTCGTTATTTTGATTAACCGGGCTTCATGTAAGACCCAGGAGATAACTCTGTGCACATACTGGCATTGTTCATGTCCAAAGAGTGGCAAAAATAGGTAAGTCCAAATAGCCCCATTTACAGCCCTTTAAAATGAAAACTCTTAAAAGGCATAAAGTCCCTCACGCATTTGATGTAAAATTGGGAAGCCAAATCTAGATATAGGCGCTGAACTTAAAGCATCAAGACTACAAGGGCTGAATGCCTACAGTTTCATCCGGCCCTTATGGGAACTCAAAGGATCAGGCCTGACATTTCTAATCATCACCAATAAATGAGGTTTGATTATTTTCACAGAGCGCCAGGAGCACTGATGGGAAGCGACTACCATTGCACACTGCAGACACATCTCTTTGGACACTCTAAATTGTTTATCTTCTTTGCAAGTCTAGTGTAATTGATTCTGTGCCGGTCACTCACGACAGCAGAATAAACTAAACGCAGGTTGCCCGAGGACTGAGATAATGCATTCCTGGCAGTGCACGATTCGGCACGCGGGCCGGTGGGAAAAGCAACCTTCTCTTCACCGTCCTCCTCCCTCCCCTTTGCTCTACCCCTACCGCAGCCCTCGCTGCGAACAAACAACAACATCGCTGAGATCCAAGGAGTTGTCAGTTTACATCAGAAGGCAGGCGGTGACACGACATGTCACATTACAGCAGAGACACTCCAGCTGGCTGTAGAGCTGTCATCGTTAGCAGCAAGCCACCACTGGGAGCTGGTGTAGACGGAAGTCAGTGTAGACAGCCGTTTGCTCATTACGAGTCTCTGTTTAAGATTCTGGAGCCCAACTGACTGTCGTAGCTGATGTAAAGTTGTCACATGCCACTCGCACATCCTGAGGGATCTGATTTCAAGAGAATGTTTTCTTTTCTGCTTCTGCACAACCAAATGCAGTGAAGACCCTAGTATACTTTTTGATGAAGCAACTCAAGCAAACTCAGGAAGGATAAAAGAAAGAAGTCCTAGGGCAGGCGAACAGTCTTATGGCATGTCAACCTGCTGTCACCTACTCTTAGAAGTACTCAAAAGAACCCACAGGCAAGCTGGTATGACCACCGAGCACCACTCTCTGAATGGAGCTTCAGGCCCAGAAGCCAGGGAGCTTCAACAGCAAGGTGCTGTCCAGCCTCATGAGCTCTGTCTCCTCAGGAGATATTTTGTCACTCCAAAACTTGGGAGTCCCAGCTCTGTGCCTGTCGTGATCCATTCTATAGCCTGATAAAATTGAAAGATTGCCTGGAGAAGATAAGATTCTGGGGGGACCTTATAGTTTTAGACTGGATCTTAGGATGAAATTTTTCAGTATAAGGGTGGCAAGACTCTGGCATAAATTTTCTTGCCCGGAGAGGCTGTGGCTGCCCCCTCCCTGGAGATGTTCAAGGCCAGGTTGGATGAGGCCTTGAGCAACCTGGGCTAGTTAAGGGCATCCCTGCCCATGGCAGGGAGGTTGGATTAGATGATCTCTAAGGTTCCTTCCAACCTAAGACATTCTATGATTCTATGATTTTATGCTGCCTGACTCAATGAAGAGCTGAGATTGCTGCCTCCTGGGGTAGCCCTCATACAGGAACCCGTACACAGCCTGTGACTGGCTGGCCAACACAAAACACAAAATCTCCTTGTTGGAAAGCAGTGGTATGCTTTTATCTGGCAGGTTATGTAGATATAACGTATCTCTCAGCAGAATGGCTGCCCTGCCAAACAGATGGGAGAAGGAACAAAACACAAGAGTGAATGGGGGGAAGGAATGGAAACAGACATGCTCACTGCAGTATGAGCAGCACATCAGGTAACAGTGAGGCAGGAGATGGGACTGATGTGGTACGTATGAGTGACAATCTCTAGCAGCCCATGTACTTGCAACTGCGTTGGTCTTCTTGGTGCAAGCCCAGTGAAGTCAGCAGGCTGCCTAGGGTCACAGTGGACTGGGGTATAGATGTAGGTTACTACCAATAAGACACCTCTGCACTTGATAATCAGTTTTCCAGGTTGTCTCCCGTTAGAAATATTGCAGCAGCCTTAAGAACTGGATATTGCTGCTTTTGTACAAGGCAGATATCCACACTCACATGAGAAATCCCAACAAAGTCCTATTCTGGATACTGCTAATAGCAAAATTGCCCACAAGCTCCATTTTTTGCAGGACAAGATAGTAAGATGGGACATTAAAACTTGATTTCACAACTGCTAACTGTAGGAGCATATTATCTGATGTTTGCTAGTACAAAGTGTGGGAGTCTGGAATTAATGCCAACCAGGTCATGCACAATGACTTGTTTTTAATGAAAAACCGCATGTGGAAAGATGACTTCTAGATTTCCATCTACAAAATTTCAACTGACAAACACAAAAACATGACTTTCCACACAGGTGAAAGAAGCAAATTAAAAATGGGATTTTCTAGTAGCTTTTCATTTCTATCTGCAATCCTTCTTTAGAAAAGCAGTTTCCGAGTATGCACGTTCTCAATTCTCTCCCTCAATCGATGCCGACATGAACTTCCTGCATATCTTCATGGCCAAAGATCAAATACAACAGCAATCAATAGTGCCATATTTGACAGCCAATCATTTCAAATAACCAAGAGAAAATTGCTTTTATTTGAAAAGGAGTAACAGAGTTCAGTATAAAGACTCAGATTCACGGCATTTAACTTCAGTACTCAAAGAATCAAGGTGACCAAGTCAGTTAAGGCAGAAGCTGTCTTTAAAGAACTATTTGTTGACTTCCATCTTGAAGTGGGAAGCAATGCTCTTGGATGGGCTCTGAAGAGAGCTTACGTGAGACTCTCCTCTTTCAGAGAGTCACCGCTTGTTGAAATATATCCTAAGTGTAGTGCCCCTTATATAAAGAAGACATAAATGGGTAAATTTTAAAGTTGAAAGGGCAAATTGAGTATTTTCTAAATACACAGTTTTCCTAAGTGTTGTTTAGTTGAAAATTGAAGCATATATTCTGGAAAGGTCTCAGATCTTGACCTGAATCTCAGATCTGTTAGTATTTTGTCCTCATCACTCTCCCGCTTAAAAATGTGTCTCTGCTATTTTGTTTCCACTTTTTTTTTGGTGCCATTTTTTTTCACCACTTTTTTTCTGCATTAGAGTGATAGGCTCTATATTAAAAGCCGTAATACTCCTACATTTAGAAAGTCAGGAATTGAGTTAATTCAGTAATAGCCAATCTTACAGGAACAGCTTATCATAAAACTCAAGACTTGACTGAAGAAACATGGCATTTTTCATCAAAATCTGGACAGCTCTTGGAGAAGGACAACAGAAATGAACCATTCAGATGAATATTCCATTTCTTAAGTTGCTATAGAATGAATCAAATAATTCAATGAATCAAAACAATAATTAGAAAAGTAAAACTCTCACAGTAGAAAAAATCTCTTCTTTCCCAACACACCCCCGCCTCAGTCAGTTCCATTTTTGAAGCCTCCCAAACAAAGGAGCACACACTGAAGACTTACTTTGCTTTAAGCGTTTCCTCTTGGAAATTCCACTGAGGGTCTTCCACTAGCTGCAGTTCTCGTAAAACACTCCCTGGCTTGTAAGCTGCATTGATCACCATGCTGAGAACCTAGTGAGAGACAAAATCGACAGCACTGAGGGATTTTAAAGTAGCCCTAGACCACATTGAATACGATTCTGTGTCCTGCACAGGCAGGAGCAGCCTACAGGTCCAAGGCTGCACAGGGTAAGTACTAGAGATGATGAGAAGAGGTCCCAGATTGGATGAATGTGCCAAGCATATTTGTAGGCGACACATCAGTCTGATATGGTGACTGCATTAAATGCTGCTAGCGAACCCTGAAACTCTCCCATTAATCAGTGATTTTTATTTGAGACAGACCCTCTCACCCAAAGCAGACACTATTTGGTGTAGTCATACTGGCTCAATTAAATACAAAAATGAAAATACTTCTGGTGGCTCAAGCAGGTACAAAGTCAAGTACTGTTACACACTGAACACTAAAGGGAAAATTCGCATACTTGAGGTCAGCAAAATGCTTAAGCGTCTGAGCGCTGCGTGCCATGGCTCTATTAACAGAATATTAATGAAGTCTACACAAAAAGAGTTTGCAGGAGGTGTGCCTGAATCCCAGTGTGTGGCCACTCTGGACAACAAAACACATGTGCCAACCCATTTAGTTCAAAGTCTCTGAGAATAAAAATGATTCCTACTACTGGCTCAGGGAATCCAAGCTTTAATAATCTGCACTTGGCCTAAGGAGACAAATACAAGGAAAACAAACCTCTTAACAGCATCAGACCATGCGTTTGAACACTCTGCATTGATGCCCATGAATGACCCCACAGTGAGTCTGGATTAGTTTTGATATAATTTAGCTCTTTACCTAACGCTTGCTCTTAATTCTTTGGGGGTCTGCAAATGGTTTCAGTACGATGAGGATTAAGTTTCCCCAGCACCCATGAACATGGTTGATAAGAAACAAAACTGTGTCATAATGCAAAAAGCAACGTGTCTATGTTTGGTGTTGGGGTTTGGTGGGGTTTTTTTTGGGTTGTATTTTGTTTGTTTACTTGTTTCTTTGTTTTTTTTAAATCCAGCAATTTGTGGATTTGCTGGCATTTTGAAAACTTTGGGGGATGAATCATTTTCCAGCAACGGCTTCACTTAATGCTGCAAAGCACCATGTAAAATGACAGTGGTTTGAGTTTGGATAGGTTGCTTGTTAGAAGCAAAATCTGATTACTCGAACAACTCTTCAAAAAAGTGCAATTAGCGATACCTAAAGCAACTCCTAATAATAGCACCAATGTCTTATACAGCTCTGATCATCTGCACATCCAGAGCACTCTGTGAGGGAGCCCACACTCTTCCTCACACAAGCAGAAACAACTACACAGATTTACTCACAGCTCTCCAGCCGGCTCCCATCTCATTGCACATCCCATGATACTAGTTACAAAGCCAGACTGATTCCCAAGAGAAACAAAGAAAGCTTCTGAGTCAGCCCATCCAGTTGCTCACTCACACCTCCTCTTGCCTGCCTCTCACTGTACAAGTTGATGGGACACTGGCCTCTGACACACAGACGCAATGCAGGGAAGCACAAAGGTGGGGTTTCATAAAGCATCAAGTGCCTGGGTAGCTCCCATGCTCATTCACAACTCACCATACGTGTTCCCCCCTTGATCAGCAAATCCAGTGAGTTATTTAACGCCTACACAGGAGCTTGTTCGGTCTCTTCTCCCACATAACAAGTGACAGGACAAGAGGAATTAGCCTCAAGCTGTGCTTAGGAGTGGTTTAGATTGGATATTAGGAACAACTTCTTCCCCGAAAGAGTTGTTAAGCTCAGGAACAGGCTGCCCAAGGAACTGGTGGAGTCACCATCCCTGGAGGTATTTAAGAGATGGGTGGATGAGGTGCTCAGGGACGTGGTTTAGCGGTGGACCTGACAGTGCTAGGTTAACAGTTGGACTTGATCTTAAAGGTCTTTTCCAATCTAAGCTGATTTACGATTCTATGACTATGATTCTACACCCACCCTGCTTGCCGGTGGGAAAGCCAGTAGCAAGGAGCAAGCATCTCTCGCTGACCAATTCCCACAAACAGTGCTGTCTTGCTCCTTTATCAGGGTGATGGTGTTTGTATAAATTGTCAGAACAGTTAGGAAATAAGCAAGAAAAGAAAATCCAATCCTGCAAATAACAGTGTGGCCAAGTCTGGGCATTATCCCAGACACCTAATCAACTCCAGCCTTCCAAAGACAGCCACAATACCAGGATTTTTCTCAAAGCTGGCTTGCCATCAGCAGGACACTGTAAAATTCTGAGCTCAGTTTAAAAAAAGAGTGTTTTGTAAGAACAATCGTATCCCTCTAAGGGAAGAAAAAAATGGTTTTTTAAAACTTCTGGCTTTTACTCTTCTTGCATCTCAAATAAGTAACTTGGTCTGGTATTTTACCCTACAGCAGAAGTTCATCACCATGTTAACAGTGTTACCTTCCAACAACATTATCTCTTCATATTAAAAAATAGAGAGAAACAAGAACACTGGTTCTTGTGCAAAAATTAACTGTGATTAAAGTAAAATCACAGTGAAGAAACCTAGACCAGTTTCCAGCTTGCCAGTTTCCAGGTTTATCTGGAGATGGAAAGTTGCTTCACTCATATCAGACTGGTCATATTTTTATCTGCTTCACTAAATTCCCTTTGGCTGTGATCAGCTTGAGAATTTTATAGAATTGCAGAACCACAGAATTTTTTTGGTTGGAAAAGATCTTTAAGATCATCAAGTCCAACCGTTAACCTAGCAATGGCAAGCCCACCACTAAACCACATCCCTAAACACCATATGTACATGTGGTAGTTTATTTTCAGCTCTCAGGCATGGTTTGGGTGCAGCCAGTAGTGGCTTGGAGCAGAGGGATGGATTAGACACCACCAGCCTTTGCTGCTATGCTTCTATGAGGTTTTATTTGGATACTGCTGAATTTTGGATTTTCAGAGTTAAGGAGGTGAGAGTTGTCTTAGTGAGTGTGATCACACAGCACCACCACAAGCCTCTACTCAACCTTATAAGCATGTGACAGCTATGAAGTTTTCCATGTCATAGATTTTCAAGTGCAAAAGCCGTTTCTGAGCATTTCTAGACATGCCTGATTGCCATGTGACAGTTCAGTACCTTGCTTCCCATCACAGCTTTATGGTATTGACACATTTCCCATCTCTTCCTTAATGGACACAACCCTGGATGTAGCTTTCTTAGGAGGTATCACTTGACAAGGTACTGTCTAAAATAGCATCACACCTTTTCTCCAGTTCAAGAGTCCAATGATCAGCATCCTTACAAGGAGAAATTTGTTTTCCATGCTCTTTCTGAGATATGAACACTCATCTCCTACCTAACAGGAGAGACCCTAGCTCCCAGGATAGCCTCAGGCAGGACAGTTAACAGTTATTTTATTCTACTTGGAATAATGATGTGTCTGTGGGACAGAGAGCGAAGGGGAAAAAGTAGTTCTTTGGGATTCTTTTATTAGATCATCAAGGATCTAAAAGAGAGTTTTTGTCGTAGTCAAGATTGTAGCACTTAAATATTGACATGCTTAAGACAGTCAATGACATGTCAAAAACATAGATATCCAAATCCTAAATTGGAGGAACTACTACGAATGAGCTGAAGTCCACAGAGCAGCCTTGAAGAGGATATTAGTGAACCCTCTAGCAGAAATGCAGTTTATATCTTTCCAAGACTATAGAGGTTTCTGTCATTCCAATGCCATATCTGATCACTAATGGTAACGTTATCACTCCAGCTCAATCATACACCTAAGGCTCAGCACAAGCTACTTAATTTTCTGAGCAGTGTAATTTAATTATGCAAATTTCTCCTAAGAAGTCATGCTGCGCTTCAAAAAATTCAAGTTGCAGAGTGTAATAGCTTTCCTTCACAAACGCTGTCTGATTTCTCCTGTTTGCTTCAGTTGGACAGTCACATTACCCTTCTGTCCCTTTTCTTTTTAAATATAGAAAGAGCAAAGTGTCTTTAAAATAGTAAGACCAGTAAGCAATAAGGCTAATTAACCTTTATGGCACATTTCTCTAAGATACGGTGGGTTATAGATCATCTGAAGTCTGAAAAAGACACCTCATTTTGTTTTACAACGGTGCTGTGGTAAGATCCTGGCATAGATGGAAGAACTGTTCAGAAGTATTTTTTTTTATATATTCTGACCCAGGAAGTAAATCTAAAGCTGACAATGTGTTTATTTTAATTTAACTTAAAGCTGGCATTTATCACGTATCTTAGCTGCTATACAGTCACCATTTTTCAGCCCAGATGTAGCTGCTGGACGGCAATAGATGATGTCTCCACTGTATTTGGCTCCAAGTTTCAACTTCTTTTCCGAACAAGTATCTCGAGATTGATATAAGCTTTGCAGACGGTGTTAAACAGGCATCACCACCTCACTTGCCTCTTGGGGTGAAATAAACCACTGGTCCCAATAGAAACGTCTGCTGGCACCAGGCATAATGAACAGCTAGGCTTTAAAAATAAGTCTGGGACTAAATAGCACAAGAGTTACTTGACAATCAGCTAAGGCTTTGTGTGGATGCAAGGATACACACACACAAACAAACAGAATTAAAATCAGTTTTTTGACCACATTGCCAAGTAAGTTGCAATTGCTCCCAAGATTTTGGTGGGAAGTCTTGCCCAAGGGCTGTTGTTCTGGAAGGCACGTTAGCAGTTTGCTCCCTGCAGAGCTCACCACCTCTGAATCCAACATCAGGACAAAGCAATTGAGCAGAAATCAAGGGGATACAGGAACAACGCAAAACTTGGCAGAGATGCCTTTTCTGTTGGAAAAGAAGTGCTGCAGAAAAGCAACCCTAACTGTCCTGCTTCTTTCCCAACAACCCAGCTGAGAACAGCCAACACCAGATACTCCTACTCCATGCTACAAGGGTATCTCCTAATCCTGTTTATTCCAGAAGCAAGCAGTACTGATCCATAGTTATCTCACTATTAGCATGCAGGTGAGCAGAACCAGTTTGTTTCGAGCCGGATCCAGGGTGATGCTTCACTGCATCAGTGATGGAAGTAAGGAAGGACACGACTTGGGTCAGCTGAGAACAGCCAACACTAGATACTCCTACTCCATGCTACAAGGGTATCTCCTAATCCTGTTTATTCCAGAAGCAAGCAGTACTGATCCATAGTTATTTCACTATTAGCATGCAGGTGAGCAGAACCAGTTTGTTTTGAGCTGGATCCAGGTGATGCTTCACCGCATCAGTGATGGAAGTAAGGAAGGACAAGACTTGGGTGGAAAAGAGGGCTGAAGAGCACCATGCACTACCCTTGTACTACATTTTTTGACAAACCCTCATGGCTGAGTATGAAGGAAGGAGGAGGATGGGCAGAATGCCTATGCCTCAGCAGTCAGCCAGGTGCTAGTGGGGAAAGGACATCTGCTTTCTTCTTGCTTTAGCTAATCATTTAGCCCAAAATGGGGCAGGAGTTGGTTATCTGGCTGATTTTAGTCTGGGGTTTCTATCAGTGCCAAACACAGCAGTGTCTCCAGCACGGAGACTGCTGCCCACTGGGAACTGGCTGGTGACCAGAACAGATTTTTAACTGGAGCATCTCTAAAGGCAGTGAGTTACAGCAGGAGACCAGGATGACTATAACAAGGTCCCACCAGACCACTACTTTCTTTGTAGCTCTTGCTTTGGGTTGTCTTTCCCACCTTCCCCTCTGTGTTGCCAAAGTAAAGCCCGTGTATAATTTATCTATTCCAGCCAAGTTATGCTGATGCATAATTTACAATGGCCTGCAGTTTTCCTATATAGTGAGAGACAATTACAATGCATTTGCTCTCCTGAGGCCACCTCAGCAGTGGGTATAAAAGAAAGGCATCGGCACCAAGACTAGGTTCAGAAGGATGGGGACCCTTGTGAGCTCTTCAGCTGTGCAAAGCCTGGTAGCTGGGGTCTGGGGCTGGAGGAGATATCTCCTGTACTGTTCTCACCACTCAGCTCTGCAGTCCTTTTGGGTGTTCTGGCAGCTGCTACTGGTCTTAATCTTGGGGCAATGATGTCTTTTTTGCCACTTCCTGCCTCCTCCATGCGCTGGGTATCCCTATCCTTCCCCTTCCCATGGTCCTCTGAGCTGCTGACATCCCTCCTGTCTCAGCAGCAGTTGATAAGAACCAGATGTATCTCCCCTACAGGAACACATTGAATATCTTCTCTTCACGCTTTCCAAAATTTGGATCTGGTCTCCACAGCCCGAATGAGCTTGAATTTATCTGAAAAAAATCCCTGACCAATGCCAGGCCGTTGTCATTGTCCTGCTCCTTTGGAAGTTGTTCATGTCTCCAAAAGCAAGACAGCCATGTCTCACTGACACTGCTATCTGCTCCTTCAGTAAGCAATTCTGTAAGGAGGCTGAGCAAGAGAAATTGGACTTTCTCTAGGAAACTCAAGTTGGTCTCACTCTTGAGCAATATGGAGAAGCTGGTGTTAGTCTACGCAGTAAAGCCCTAAGATACTAGGGGAAGAACTGGCAGAAGCTTTGCACTGCTTATATTTTCAAAATCCAAATTCCAGGAGGAAGGAGGAAGAACCATTAGCATAAGTATTGCCTGTTCATGCCTCATGTTCCCCCCATGCTGCTTTTTCACTGCCTTTTTTTCAAGCAGCAGCAGATTGCTAATGCTCCCCATCAGCAAGCTGCTACGGACTTGCTTTCAAATTTGGCAGCTGTCAAGTTTTGCTCTGCAACCACTTTATCCTGCTTTCTGCTGAGGGCTATTTTTGACTTGCTTTTTTGAGACCCAAGCATCCCACCTGCACAGGCAGCTGGATTACTGGCCTCTCTTCATGGCCCAGCTTTCTACCATGTGAGACAACCAGCAGTGCTGCAGTGTTTAAGACAGTGCACGCAGGTGACGTGGAAGGGAAAGGGGACACAGGAGTAACTCCACAGTACAGCACAGATGTGTTTTCAAAAGTGGTTGGTGATTTGGGAGGAATCTCGCCTTTTAGGTGTTTGCGTTAAGGGCTGGGATTCATCTCATTTCAGACAACTGCAAACACCCTGAGCTGGGCACCAAGGGTCTTGAATATCCGTCAGATGAATGGAATGGACACCAAGAAGTTCCCATGCTTTTGCACCAAGGGGAGCTCAGATAGGTCCCTTCATCCAAATGAAGTCGGGTTCATTTAGGTACAGATCTGAAAGCTGCAAGATCTGGATTTCTGGAAGACCGAAGTCAAACTGAAATGGTGTCCAAGGCACCAGTGGCATCCTGCTTACCCAACAGTACCATCTCGCTCTTCTCTGCCACCTGCGGTCACCTTGCCCTTCATCTGTATATGACCTTTGTGGAAAATATTTATGTATTTTTGCAAACAAGATAGCTTTTCTCTGAGATCAACATCAAGTGCTCAACACTCTTGATTTGGCCCAAAGCAAGCATGGATTGGGTCAGGATGAAGCAAACAGATGGTGGTGCTCTGCCATCCCTGCTATGTGGGACTAACCCATCTACATTTGGCAAGAGCTGGGCACACCACAGCTTCCGCTCGGCACATCCCACGCAGTCCTGCTTCGCCTTCTGTCCTGTTCACTTTGGATCTTGATGGTTTGGGCCCCGGTGGACCTTGGTCACATATACAAAGGTGCCCCCCACACTGAAACAGCTGGCTCAACCGCATCATGGATGCCAAGAAATAGGTGGTGGCAACGACCACAGAGGTCCTCTTTGGGGATGGTTCTGGTCAGAACACGAACTGTCACACACAGTTAAATGAAACTTGCTCCCAAAGAAGAGAACTCCTCACGTTTCAAAAACATCACTGCTCCCATCGAAACTCACAATGCATATACCTACCCTCTCCTCCCAGCTTGTAGTTTTGACTTACGGAAACCACTACAGAGCTCCAGGACAATTTTAGGTGCATGTTCTTTTCCAAATACCGGGCCTGGCAACCCATGACCCATGCATTCCCCTGAAATCCCCCCAAAAGATAGCTGAGCCGTACCTCTTTGAGGACCAGCACGCACTTGCCAGGCCCGACAGACTGAGGTAGCTCTGCTATTCTGCCTTTGTTTAAATATGGACCTGAGAAGCAGCGGTGGTTGATGTAGAGCTGGGGGCAGCAGTATCTTCCATTGATGGTGCCTGCAAGGAGAAAGTAGCATTGATGTGCGTGTAGCACCTTTGTACAGTAAATCAAGGGCCCCTCCTCCTCCTCCTAGAAGTGGGAAAGAGAGGAGCAAAGGGGGCAGAAAAACACTTCCCTGAGATAGAATGTAGAGAAGCCTCAGCTACTCAAATCTGTCCAACATCGGTTAACAGCAACCGATTTGCTGCACGCCTGCCCAAACGGAGAATCGGGAAAAGATTTAATCCATAACATGACCCAAGGCTCTTTATTAACTCGCATCCGAGATGGATTCAGTTGCAACTTGCTAGAAAGGGAATGTATTAGCTGCCTCTCACAGATATGGAATCAGCTCCAGCAGAAAGTTCAGGTGGAGAGCTCTACAAACCCCTCTGTGGCTTCATGCAGTGCCATTCCCCTGATCCAACATGGGTCTACAGAGCAGTTTTCTTCATGTGGGCCAATTACTATGGGCTCCTTTATAGCCCATGCAAAGAAGTGGGTACTTCTAGATGTGGTTTATGTGCCATCCAAGTGGTTATCCACTTTTTGGTTATCACATCCAAAAACAGTTATTTGATTGTAACGGGGCCCTGGGACGTTAACTCTGGTATCAGAGTGCATGCCCTGCAGTCTGCTAAAATTAAGTAAATTAATTCCTGCCCCTCCTGCGGAATCTAGATGAATATTGCACACTCAGAGCCTCCTGCCATTGCTAAAGGGGCAAAAAAAATTTGCCTTTAGCAGACGTTAGCAGCCATACCACACAGTCCTGATGCCAGCACCCACTAAGCCCCAGTCTATTGATCCCAATTAAAAAGGTGTATCCATTTCCACCATGGCTTCATTAGCCTTGCCCTAACAGTGTTAGATGAAAAGGCCAAGCTGCAGGGGAACTCTGGTAACCCCAGCAAGATGTGGCGCTCACATGCAGAAGAAGACGAGACCCTCACATGCTGTACACCAGAGACTCCTCGCACTGCTGGTAGGTCCACACCCCCTCACACCCTCTGAGGATATGGTCCCATCTCCCCACCCATGTGACACTCTTGCTCCCTTTTTGGGGCCATCCCCCTCCATACAGGCAACAGGTCCCTGAAATAAGGATCTTTTCTGGTGCTGAGCAGCCTTACCTGTTGTGTCTGGCTGAGGAACTGGGCAGAGGTCATGAGGTATTTTCTCAACAGGCACTGTGGATGGTAACCTGTCAAACAGCAATTCAGCATATTTAATAGTGTCAGTCAGTGCAAAGGGGTACACCCAGCCTTCAGGTTGGACCCAGAGACACATCAGCATCTGCCTGGACCAAAGAATGGAGATACTTCAAATACAGCCCCGCTTTGACATGGTTTATCATAGCCCAGGGCCAGCATATTGGTGAAGAAGGAGCCAGATCCACCCCTTCTCCAAAAACATCCTTTGGTCTGTGAGCTTTAGCCCTCCAGGCTGCAAATACTCACACTTCAGTCCCTTCAATTTTAGCTTCTAGAAACTGCAAGGGCTTGAGAGGGAAATGCCCTCCTGGCACATGCTCATATTCCATAAGCATCCCTTACTGGCCATCAGACACTGGGTACACAATCCCAGTTACTAAAATATTTCCATTGCAATGACTTTCCTATACGATCACAAACATTTTAGATTTAAAGGGATCCCTTGGGGACTCTGCTGCAGTGTGTGGGCAGCAGTTAGTACAGTCACTCAGCTGCTCTGTATTACTTCCCCTGGGAGACCTGATGCATCTCTATAAAAATACGACCCTCAACAACAAAAACTTACTGCTTTTCTGGCTGCACAACTGCAATCCTTCTCTTCCTTCGCACTGCAAAAAGGAAGCAAGGAAGAAAAAAATAGTTTTGTATTCTTCCGTCCTATAAAATACACCCATAACGCATAAAAAACTGTGTAAATGCACTGACTGTAAAATGACTCCTAGCACAATGAAATGGTACTTAATTACTATCGCCATCTTTTCTTGGTATTTTTTAAGTAAGTCACTACATCATTAAAACCTACTTTAAAGATGTAATAATACATTTAATCTTTCCTCTGGAATGCTAATATCATGTTTTACGGGATCAATATAAAAAAAAATTAAAATAAAAACACAAATATTTTTCCATAAAGAAACACATATGGATAAGATTACATTTTACAAGCACAATTACCTCCAGCATAATTTATCCCTAGCTATAAATTGTGATAAGGCTGCATAATGTTGCCATAGCAGTATTCTCCCAAATTAGGCCCCGGCTGCCTGATTTTTAACTTAAGCATATTTAACTCTTCAAAAGGGTTGACACATTTTAAAATTTGCCTTTCAGATGTTAATTAATATAAACACTGAAGTTGATTTTTTCGTCTGGTGGCTTGAGATCGGGGTTGGATAGTTCCTGTGAGGAACAGGGCACCAACACCAAGTCATGGAGCGCTCATAAACTGCCTTCCAGTGCAGATGGAAAGGGAAGAAATTGGCCTTAAAACACGTTGGAGGTCAGACAAAACACTACAGGCTTCATCGTGCTGAGAGAGATTTAAATTAAACACCAGGGAAACTTCTGAGCTGGTAAGGGCCAGTTAGCTCAGTCAGTTCAGCGTGGCGCTAACAACACGAAGGTTGAGGGTTCAATTCCCATTTGGTCTCCACGTGTTGCGTCATCTAGTTGAGAGGTGGCGTCCCTGGCAGCAGGGAGGCTGGATTAAAATGATCTCTAAGGTCCCTTCCAGCCTAGGCCATTCTATGATTTAAGGGCCGTGAAATACTGGGATGGATACCCTGGGAAGGTATCCTCCATCACAGGAGGCCAGTAAATATATTTTCAGTTCAGATAGCGCAAATCCTGGTTTGGAGAGGGAACACCTTGAATGACCTCTTTAAGTCCATTCCTCCCTATATTTTATAGGGTTTGTTTTCAATTTGAGGTCATACAGAATCACAGAATCATAGAATCATAGA